CTGGGGACCAACCCAGCTGATTGCCAAAGGATGGGGTGGGCTCCCCCGTCCCAGGGCTCTGCCAGGGTCCTGTCCGGGCCAGTGCCACCCAGCACTGTGCAGCCCCTGCCATGGGTGGTGGCTCAGATGACAGCTGCCAACGCTCAGCTCATTTGCCCATCCCAGACCAGCAGGTCCAGTTCTGCCTGTTCCTTCGGAGCCTCGGCCACCCGCGTTTTGGGCAGACAGGTCTCCTTGCCACCCACGTTTTGGGCAGACAGGTCTCCTTGCCCCAGATGAGGTGGTTCCCTAAAGCCCGGGCAGGCAGACCAGTAAAACCCAGCGACTAGCTCTGTGGTCCCCACTGACAAGCTGCAATTGCTCTCCACAGCTGAGCAAAGCATGAGGTGCACATGGATCACACCTCCGGCTAATGAAGCAAACCTGCGTATTCACACCCCACCAGCTGCAATAGCTTGGATGGCCCTACCCCCCAGGCACACCGGGCTCGCAGATCCCAGTGTTTGTGCCCGCTCCTGTCTCACCCAGAGGACTGAAGTCCTTCCCACGAGGCTCAGGCACGATGCTTGAGACCGCACGGAGTGCGAGCCCTCCCAGGGATGCTCCTGCTGCATCCTGCCCTCCCGCTCTGCTTCTCCAGCCCATCAGATTGATAAGCCACTCCGTAAATCCCTCAATGACACGAGGGAGAGAGCAAGATGCCTTACCTGGAGCCGCAGAAGGCAAGTGGCCTCCTGGATGCCTGGCTGGCACCTACCAGGGATCTGGGTATTTGAGTGTCGTGGTCTCCTCCCCAGTCCCACTTTCAGAGCAGAAAAACTGGCTCTGCCACCTGCCACGGGCAGCACATGACACTGGGAACATGACCAGTCCCATTCGTACCAGCAAGAGCCTGACTGACATTGCCTCCAGCGCAGGCAGGAGCAGAAAGACCTCCTGACCCTTTGCAAGCAAGCCGGGGCAGATCTGGAGGCTGCAGACATCCTCAAGGACCAGCCCTGGGATGAGGGCAGGCACTGGGGACTCATCCAGGAATGTGCTATGGTCAGGACTCTGTTTGAAGTAGAGAAGAGGGGATTTGGGGGTGTCCTTGAAACCAGGAACCTCCAGCAGGTCCTTGCTCCCCTCTTGGCGGGAGGCTGCTCCGGGAGGGCCAGGCAAGGCCAGATGAGGCAGAGCTCAGCGCTCCCAGCTCCCTCCGATGCTTGTCCTTGCTGCTGGCTTGCACTCCAACATATCATTAAGCAAATACCTGTCAGCAGAGAGCAGTTACCAGCCGGTCTAAACACTTGCATAATGTGCTTCCCCCTCTAATGCAATGCCCTCGTTTCCAATAGCACCAATATGGGATAATAACAGTAACAATAATGTCAAGAAGGGCTTGCGTACCTGAACGCTAATTTGTTTTCTCTACCTAATAAAAGGTATTACTTTTCCCGCAAGATTTGCCCTATTTAAAACCTTCAACTCTACAACAAAGTCGCTCCCGCTGTCATTTTACTTTAATTTACGGCATGTGTGGAGCCCCCTCCCACCGAGCGAGACTAACCCTGGGTAACTCATGCAGGGAGCAAGCAGCTGTACAGAAGTCACTCGTCCCAAAAACCTGGCCATGTTTGCCCCATGCCTTCTCCCCCAGATCCTGCACCGGCCCCAGCGGCAGAGCAAGAGTTCCCTCAGCGGGTTTAGATCAGAAGTAATGGATGAACTTTAAGGGCAAGGGAGGGTAGACCCTGGTGCAGTTCAGAAAAACCGGTGGCAGAGTCCCTGTTGCTGCCATTTTCACAATTGATAGCGGTGGTGCTTTCTAGTGGAGATGCTTCAGCTCACACACAAATCATTCGGGGGTAAATTCGCTCACTTTGGGGGTAAACCATGGCGGCAACCCTGCCTCATCCTGGGGTGACGCAGCTGGGAAGCTCGGGGGGCACAGGAGCTTAGTGGAGACACCACAGCATCCTGGGCCAGATCCAAGGAGGCTGTTTGGCATTGGGACCAGCCAGCATCCACCCGCACTCCTCTGAGCCGCTCCTGCCACCTTAGGAGGATCCTCCCCCACAAACACCATGCTCGACCTCATTTTTCACTGGTGACCTCATTGCTCGCTCCCTGCCGGGCTCTCGGCACTTTGATGCGATGGACCTAAACCTGCAGCATCCTCCAGTTAGAGCAGCCCAAGGGACAGCCCTGCCATCGCTCCCTGGACACGAAGCAGCACCCCAGGGACCTGGCTTGCAGGGACCACCCTGGCCATCGGTCCAGGCTGCAGCCACCAGCATCTTACAGCACAAGGGTGGCTGCCACCAGCCAGCAGGAGAGTGGAGAGTGGGAGGCGCAGCCACTTCTAGGTGCCAGCCCAGAGGCTGCACAGGCTCTGCTCTCGCCCCACAGCAGGCACAAAGCTGCCCTTGAAGGAAGGAAAGCAACGTGCCAGCCTGGCTCCCGGAACACCAGCGCACGGCCACCTCCAAGCTGCTGTCAAAGTGCAGAGCTGCGAGGGACTAGCCAAACTCCCAGAAAACATTAATTAGCACAGTACTGGGCACTTAGGTCCTCCACTTCTGTGCCAAGGAACCTTTGGCTACAGCAGACCAATCTCTCTGCTTAAATCACATCATCATTGTAGACTGCTGTTTAATCAGGATCCCACGTGCACACCTGGGAAGGAAATGCCAGAGCTGTCCTCCTCCTCCTCCTCCTCCTCCTCCTCCTGCCCTCTCTCCCCTTCCTGCCTCTGAGTCAGACCATTTCATTTGTGCTGCGGGTGACCTGGGACAGTTGTCCCCTTGCTCGGGGCCACCAGTGGCAACATAGCTGCTGCTTCTGCCAAACGAGGACAACTGCTCATCCCGCCCGTGTCAGAGGTTTTGCTGCTGCTGAACGTGCGTGTTTTAATAATGAAAAATGAGTTTCTGGGAAGGTGGTTGGGCAAGGGCTGGGAGCAAGTCCTGAAACCCATCGGGAGGACCAAGCCTTTTTTATGTTTTAAACCTTTCCACAGCAGCTGCCAGGAAGCAGCTTTTACAGCTGCAAGTAACAGAATCTCTCCCAAGGAAAGAAAATAATTGTGGAAAAGCTTTTTTATTTTTTTCCTCCCCTCGAAGTCACTGCCAGCATCTTAGCGAACTCTTATCTATTCTCAGCCACCTCTCACCTCCCCAAACACTACCAGAAGTGCTCAAATTACTGCCAGCTCTCATTAGGTTCACGCACAAGGCAAGGCCGAGCAATAAGACCTCCAGACAGTTGGATGCTGAATTCTGATGAATCCTCTGGGTAAGAGGATTTCAGCAACTGTGGAACTGTTTTTGTTGGCGATCTACTGCAGCCCTTGCGCTGGTACACAAGTGAAGCTGGTGCACGTTCAATTATTGGCTGCTATAACAAAATCCAAGTGGGCATATGACTGAATTATTGTCTGCATCTTCAAAAAAAACCCCAATCAACTACTACCACCTCATTTCCTTTAATTATTAAACTACTCTGCACTAAAGCACTGCGGGTGAGTAGAATTTATCTGCAAGAAGAGCAACTGCCGCTTCATAAAACCTTGTTATCGTTATTTCTTCTCTTCTGACATTTCTGTAAATTTTGGCTTCGTGGCAGGAGCAAAGCTGCCATTTCGCAGTGATCCAGGAATTGGGAGCTCAGCTGCGGGTTCAGAGCCCTCTTTCCCATGAGACGGTACCCTGCCCTGAGAAAAGCCCCAGCTGCCCCAGCCCCAGAGCAGCACCCAGCCCTGCCCCGCAAACCCCAGGCAGGGCTGAGAAGAAAAAACACCGCCGTTATTTCTTCTCATGTCATTTGTGCCCATTGCTATCTTGATAGCTTTTAACCGCAATGGTTGTCAAAACAAATCTTTTCTTTAATAATGCTATCAACGTAAAGAAGAAAAAAAAATATAGTTTATTGTAGTCCAGGCTTTTTTTTACCCCAGACATGTTCCTTTCAAGTCTAGTTTTCTTCAGGATGCAAAAAAAAGACTCTCCCTTTAGAGATCTGATCAGTCTAACCAGGACTAAGGCAAGGCTTTTTCCATGTACATAAAATTAGAGGAGCATTAGACAGACAAAAGGTATTCTAATAATAAAAACATTTCTCTACTGCACAAATAGAGCAGAGGAATGTTAAGCCTTCAGTACAGCAGAAACGTGCAAGACCTGCTAAAACCCAGAGGATTTTCAAAAGGGGATTTGAGCACCACCGTTACCAATGAGCAAGTACAGAGGCAGGTGTGACACTCGGTCACCTCTGGTTAGCTATTCCGGACTACATGAAGTTCCATTTTAGTTGTGCATTTCTGCTCTTGTGATTCCAACAGAGCCTGCTCCCTCCCAATGGGCAGGCTCAAAAGATAGACATCGCGAAAAGGAACAAAGCGGGGAACTTTCACAGCACAAAGAAACAGATACCATATGGGGAGCAGCTTCTGAGACATATTAGGACTCCTGCTAACAGAACCAAATTGCTTCCTCTCCCCCTACTTTAATATACCTTCCAAGAAGAAGGAGCATTGCATTATCGTGTTTTTACACAGAAACAGGAGAAAAGCAGCACCTGAGTTTGTTAACAGTCTGTGGCTGACATGTCAAGCTGCACTGAAAAAGAGGAGTCCTCCCGCTAAATTCTCTCATTAAATTGCCCAAACGTGAATCAATCCCTTTTAGCCAGTTCTCATTTATTGCTATAAAGCAAAGTAGCCACATTCTTAGGGCCAGATCAGCATTTTCCCAGCTCGTGCTGAAGCAAGCACTCTGCAAGAGAATGAGAAACAGCACCCAGGTGAGAGTCCCCATCCCACATCCCCCAGTCATTAGCAGACATCTTCAGGACGCCAGAGCTTCTCTTCAGCAACAACAGCTTGATAAGGAATCCTCTCTGCTCTATTCTTTCCAGCCTAGGATCTGCAAGGTTCATAAGCATAAATATTTGCCTTTTCTTGCACCTCCTATCCAATATTCATTTCCACACCAATGCAGAGCTATCAGGAACCTAATTATGTCTCTCTGACTTAAAAAACACACCATGATTTTAGCTAACTCTTTAACTAGCCAGCTGCTACTCCTTTCTCCAGCATTGTCTTCACAGTCCAGAGCTTCTCCAAAGCGCTTGTTAACACATACAGCAGAGGGATTTCAGTGGAAAGATATAGACAGTCCATGAAAACAGAGAAGTAATCTGCACTTTAGGTCTGTCACGTTGTCCACCAGCCTGGACTATGCTAATCACATCTCACAATGTGCTGTAAGAGCTGTCATTACCAGACTGCATTTAATCACCGTTCTTGCAGCAGCAGTGATCAGAGTTAATCTTTTTCCCTTTAATAAGAGCCATTACATCATTCTCCAGCATGGAAACTACGAAGTGGGAAGGTCAAAAAGTTCTTAATTAGAAGGATTTTTATTGCTGTGATAGTTCCGTTCCAGCCTCAATAAGAGAGATCTGCAGTACAGGCAGCAAGAGCTGGAAGGCATCTTGGATATATGAAGCACTGTTTGAAGCCTACGAAAACAAAAATCAAAATATACACATGAATAATTATGCCACCAATCAGCTTTCATACTCATTTCACACAGCATTGATTAATGCACATAAGAAAAAGAAGCCTAGTGCTTGTCGGATTTTTGAGGCTTCATTCTAGAAATCAATTTAAGTTTTTGAGGGGCTTTATGGCAGTAGGCAAAAAAGCAACTGGCTTAAAAACCGCCAAACAAGATTAGGTGTAATCCAAATATAGGATTCTGTTTTCGATAATAGATGAGAAGAATTTATTTCAAAGTGAAGTACACGCATGCTGTGGCAGGAAGAACACAGCAACAGGAAACACCCGTTTCCTACCACACCTCAGAAGTTTACAAGCATTGAGAACCAACTTAACAGCTGGGAAGTGTTGGGGCTCTTGCATGCTAATTTATGAGCTTGTCTAATGTTTGACTTTGGACATTTAAATTCTAGAAATCCAGACTGCTGAATTTAATATGTGTCTTCTGAGCCATCACAGCTGTCAGCTGAGACCACATAAGGCTCACTCTTCACTAAGTAACTCATCTCGTGTGCAAGTCTACAGACATTTATTAAAACTTTTAAGTTATTAGATAGGGAAGCAGAATCTTAGACCTTGGGTTACAGAACTTGGCATGCGTAAAGATACCGAAGTGGAAAAAAAACCAGCACATCTATAAGTATTAGCTTAAAGTTTTAACTTTAGCACAACTGACCTCCAAAAACACTCCAGTGATTAAGGGATTAAGCACATCTGCTTTCTCTTTGACCTGCAGAGATCAAACATATATTATCCTGATTGAAAATGTGATCACATTTCTTCAAGCAAGATAAAGCTAAATCCTTAGTAAGTTTAAAATCACCGTTGCTCCCTTGACTATAGGAAAGCTAAGTCACAAACTGTGGAGGACCTGCCCTGTAGCATGCAAATAAGAACAAAGTAACCCACGTATGCCCAACACAAGTCGTATATGAATACGCACATTACATCTTCAAATGAACTGTGGACAACTGGAGAATTTGAAGATACTGATGTTATCTTCAGTAACACCTGCATGTTTTGGAAAATCCAAAACAGGATGACAAACCTTATTTTCTTCTGTCTCCTTAGTACTGTCAGCAGCAATTCCCACCCCCACCCTGGGAATGCAGCAGGAGACATACAAAAGCTCAGCATACGTTCAGGTGCCACGACTTGGAGAATGCTCGCCTAAAAAGATCAGTTCCCAGGGCAAAAAACTGCAGATATAAATGTGCAAACACAAAAAAGCACGTCGTGGTGAAGATCCCAAGGCCATAATCAACCAACCACACCTTATTCCTAAGAACAGTGGTGTAACTCTTACCCCTGCAGACGTTAAGCACGTAGTAAACTCTTTCGAGAAAGCTGACAGTTCTTTACACAGCACAATTGTCATTCTGTGGAACAAGAGTAGGAAAACCACGTAGTAATTACAGTTTATAAGAATAACTTTCTTTTAGCATTTCTCTTGAAAAGCAAATATCCTGTTTCCACGCACATAAAGCTAAGTTAAACCAAAACTGATATAGAGCATATAAACAGTGTATGAAAATCCAGAAGTTTCCCAAATAAATTAGGGAGAGGAAAGATGCAAAAATAAAGAATTAAAGCTGAAGAGCTGAAACAGCATTCAGAGGACAGACACATCCATTCAAGAAGGAAGAATACTAACTTGCCTTTTTTACTGACACATGTAATTTTCTGACTTAGAAAGTACTGCGTATTTCACATATTTGCCAAATATCTCCCGACAGAAAAATCTTGTGTTATGCATTATTGGTAACACCAGTCTACTAATTAGTTGTAGTAATTTTACAATATGACGTACCTAACATACAAAATGATTATCAGAGAGGTAATTAAGAATCACTTTTATACAACTGCTTTGTAATATTTAAAATGTCTATCTACTACCTAGCACAAGCTTAGGGCAAACATTCTTTTTGGCTATATAAAAGCTTTCAAGTAGGGCTTCCTCGTTCCTATCAAGAAATGTCTTTAAGCTGGAAAGAGACAGCTGAATTCTGCTGGAAGGTAGTGATGCTACCCATTATAACTTTGAACACGCACACGCAGAATTCAAGTGCCTCACATCCCATGGATTTACGAAGAATTATTACGCAGTTTAATCAGCATGTAAGTAATTACATGCTACACATTTACTAAGAAATGAACTTACTGTGAAAGGGACTTGGCTCTGTCTGTGGCTGTCACCTCTTGTTTCTGACCATGTAGAAACAAAGCTGCAGTCTTGTGAAACATTTCAATGGAGCATGCTGTCAGTTCAGCCAGACTTCTTATGGCAAATGCATGAATATCCTGCAAGAGTTAAATAGATTTCCCATACTATACAAAAACGAGCAGCTTTTATTTTTAAAACAAGTGAATCACACACTGTACTATCACTACACTGTCCTTTCAGACCTCAGAATCTGCACAGAAATAGAAACCCATTAACTGTGAAAAGCCCAGCTGTAACTTAGCAGCCAGATAAACACTCTGTGGCCAGATATTCTCTTCCTTTATTACTGAGTTACCTCTACTGATTTTGTAGCATCGTGGTCCCCATCTCCGGATTCCACTTCTTGGCTTTCTTCACTCTCTTTTTCTTCTTTAGGAAGACTACTGTTGAATCGTGCTATCCATTCGTGAGCAGATGTCCTCACCTGTATGAAGATGTGCCATAGTACTCAATGACTGGAATGAAGCCCCCCTGCACATCACAAAACATGGGAATATTGTACCTATCCAGAGGAAGGAAACAGCTACAACTCCTAAGCTAGTGAGAAGAACCAGGACAAATGATCCTAGTGCCTTCAGGACTTTGTAGAGAGTTGGATGCACTGGTGTAGTTGAGGGCAGTCATTTCTCTAGCACTGGGTACTGGAGTTTACCAGCAAGACCAAGACTAATAGAGGTGCTTTAAAAATATGTCTGCAGACTGCTGCTGCCACTTGGTGGATCTGAAGGGTAGTGAAATGAAGGCAAGAAAGGCAATTCTACCTCATACCTCAACTTCTGAACATAGTAAAACCAGCTGCTTTGTACCAAGAGGAGGGCTTCAGTTCATGACTGTAGGTTGATCTCATTGTGGTGGCTGAAGGTTTACTGCTCCCGGTTATCTCTGCTACCACTTATTACTGCCCAGTGACAGGGCAAAGACACACTGGTGTCTAGTGATTCAGAGCCAAAGACACGAGAGAACATGGTTTTGCCCCATAAAGTCAAAGGAGAAGGTCCATGTCTTTTGCCTACCATTATCAAAGGATCTAAAACAGCTTGTTTTCATGCCTTTGGTATTTTCACAAGCAAAGCAGGACTGAGAAGCAGTTCCTGTGAGGAATCCCTCCAGCTTTTAAAAGATGGGAAATAACTCACCATGATCAGTTTGTCCGGCTTTGAACAGATATGCAATTCTGAAAACAACTCTGTTACTTCTTTTGTGAACTCCTCATCTCCTAAAGAACAGGAAAGGTTAAAGAATGCACACAAAGGACAGATACAGGAATAAGCAGCACTTCAATGCACAACTGGTTCTGCACAAGTCTCTCAACTGTTTCCTTTATTTCTCTTTGAATCAGGTAAATTCTGCAAAGGTGGAGACACCAGTGCCAGAAGGTTACCTTTTGCTTTCTCAGTCCTGGTTTTGTGGCTAAGTTAATTCCACTTTTTTTTTTTTTCAGGCAGCATTTTACAATGCACTAACTTGTGCACCACCTTGGAGAGTCTGAAATATCACTATGGTTCTCCTATTATGTACAGCAGGGCAGATGTTAACAGTGGGGGAAAGGCTGTGAGATCCATCACGTGGAAATATAAAAGGTACATTAAATGTTAAATGATAGCAAATGCAGGTGTGTAAGCCCTCCCTGATGAGCCATTTAGGTAAAAGCAATGCAAAAAATTTACATTTAAATCTGCATAATCCTCAAGAATCAGATGGCTCGTGTGTATGGAGGCACCTCTGAGCCTTTTGGTCTGTGTGGCTAACTCATTTAAAAAAAAAAAAATAAAATGAAAAGGCTTTTTGCTTTCCCACAGGTTGGACAACTCTATTCACAGTATTTCCCTCCTGGTCAGGGGAACCCAGCGTCTCTTTGAATTCACATCTTGGCTCAAGGTCAGTTGTATGAACTGCCCAGGAGTCGAGCAACTCTAATCCTACTCTGGCAAGAAATTGTTCCTGCTACAGAATTAATGCACAGCAGCTTTCCAGAGATGAAGGGTATCGCTAACTGTCATGCTCCTGGCCACAGACGGCTTTAGGATTAAGCATCCAGCTAAAGAATAACTTAACTTTGGCATCATGCCCATTGCTAGTAATCTCAGGGCTGGTTGGTTCTACACTGAGAATTTCACCGAGAACCAGCTTCTCCTCTCAGAGCCTGAGGCTCTCTTACCCTTCTTTTCTTCCTCTTCTTCTTCAAAGAATTCAGGTAAAGAAAATGCTTCTTTGAGTTGCTCCATTTCCTCCTTCAGTGTGTCCAACTCTTCTCCAGAGAGGGCATTTAGAACCGATTTCACCTAGTTAGGAGCAGCACAGCCAAAGAGAGAATCATAAATCCCACAAGATAAAGAAATGAGATGGAAGATGCAGCGCTAGTTTACACTGCGTGTAAAAACATCACAGACCAGTATAAATGAGAAAGTAGTACTTTCCTACAGGAAAGAGGAAAGGGAAAAAGACCTGTTTCTGAAGTCTCATTGATGGATAACGGATTCTTAAGGAGTTATTAAAATAATTTCTTTCTTAAAAAAGAAAATTACTTCCGAAATTGCATACTGATCTGCCCTACTCCCTGCCCCAAGACAAAAAGGACAAGCTCTGCTGTGCTTGCAATACTCTCCTCTTCTCCAGACCAAGGCAGCAAACAAGTGGGTATGATGAGAGAGTAGCTTGTGCAAAATTGTTGAAGACACACAGGGACCGAGGCTAGGTGGGTAAAGAGAATGGCTGTAGGAGCTGAGGACAGGACACAGTGCTCCCAAGGTAAACACCAGATCATAATGCGGTGGTCAAAGTAAAGCTGTGTAATCAATCATTTTACAGCAAGTTCTGAGCACTTGATTTTACATTTATATACATATATTTCTAATCTTTTTTGCCCTGCTCAGCTGAACTCAAAATAGAAGGCAAACCGCTCAAGGCCATTACCTTTGATTCACTCTCTCTGGAAAGCATCTCTAAGGCCTCCAGATGCGAAAGACCCTGAAACTCATCAAACAGTAACCCATAATGGGCTTTCTTCTCCGTAGCCATGGTAACCTCAGTAGCTGTCTGCTGCTCTTCTTTCTCCTTTGCCTCTCGTAAGACCTGAAAGAGAAAAGCAGAGGACTCAGGTCAGTGCCAGAATATACCGAATACAGGATGAGAAGGTTTTTGGTTCAACAGTAAACAGTTGCTTAATGACAGGACCACAAAAGAAGGGAGAAGAAATGAGAGAAACCAATGAGGAGCTGACACAGAACTACCATACCTGAGACAACGTAGAGTTTCTGTTCATTAGGCCCTTTGTTTTTTTGAATCCAGGGTCTCCCTCAGCTATTACATCCATTGTCTTTTTCCCAATGAATTCCAAGGCATCCAAACCTCCACTTATAACACTTTTTCCCTAGGAATCAGATTTGGATATACACAGCACATAAACATCACAGAAGGCTATACAATTGAAGACACTGAACTGGGGGATTTACAAAGCAATGTTATGCTAGACACTCACATACAAGCCAAACTGGTCCTTGTAACCCTAAAATTCAACCCTGATCGCCACAAAGATAGCAAAAGGACATGGAAAGAGCCACAACACACTATCATCCAACAGTTTAATATAGCACTCAGACAGCTGCAGCAATCTGGTGGGAAATGGAATTTTATTTTGTGAACAAGCTGGTTCTCAGCATATTAAAGCATTACAGTATTTAGTTCTCATCCTTCCAGAGAACACTAGACCTGTGGGTTTTGGTTGCTAACTCTCATTCAAGCCTTAAAAGCAGAAGCAAGCTTTCCATCTACGGCTCTTTCAGATTCACGGGCAAATTGACAAGACAGCAGATCACAAAAGCACAGTTTCTAAGGGTAATGGGTTCCTTTGAAGTGCATTTCTCATGGTCACAGGAGCAAGCTGATTTCCAAGCAATTTGGGCTAGTTTCACAGAAGTTTTTGAAGAGGAGAATGGATTTTATCTCCAGACATTTCTGTGGAAATCAGTGGAAATATTCCAGGAATGAGTCTGACCCTGCATTTACCTGAATACTCTAAAGGAAGGAAGCAGAGATAACAGAGTACAGAGGTGACATGCACGGGAATGCACACACCACACTGTCCACCGTTAGGTTTTTTTGTTACGTATCAACATTTAATACAGAACTATCAAAATTCAAGACAACTAACACATTAAGTGCCAGTGAGAAGCAAGGCATAGGATAAAGACTGTCTGAAGGCTGAAACAGTTTCTCACCATCCATTCCACAAAAGTCAAAACTAAAACTTCCCTCTTACGATGTTTCAGATGAAAGGCAAAAACCCCAACATTCTCTTAAACCCATTTTCTCCTGCATTCCCAACTCACTCACTGTGCTTTGGACAGCAGTAGAGATGGTTGATAAAACTCCAAGAGCCCCAGCAATAGGAAAGGAACTGCCATCATCAACTGCATCTGTGCTGCTAGCACCAGCATTCTCGCTTCCTGCATTAGAAGGCAGAAAATTAACTTCCTCACTCCGAAAAAAAGATCCCATCAGCTGCAGAGTGGAGAAAATTAACAAACACTAAGTGTCAGCCATGAGCAGGACTAGAATTGGGATTATTTTCCTACCTACTCTTCATAGCTAACAGAAGTAAGCAATAGAGGTTTTAGCACATAGGTATCTACCTCAATTTGCAAGGTGCGGGGCAAGGTGATGTTATTTTGGGGCTGATTATGTTATGAGAAACATTTCAGTGTCATTCTTACGCAGTAAAAACTGACCTCTTGTAGCATCTCTAGTCTCTGAAGAGATTTCAGTAGGACTGGGGATCCCAAGGGTGGTTTCTGCTTTTTCTATGACATTTGAAATACCTTGACCTAGACAAGACAGCAGCATTACTTTAACCGTAAGATACAAAAGAAATCAGAACAGAAACAGGATTAGGGCTGCAAATTGTTTTTTATTATTCTGGATTCCTCCTGTTTGAGACAGTTTACCCAGCACTAAAACCTACCATCCAGCTTGCTGTAATGAATGTAATGAACTCAGGTTTCATCTCAGCTTTTAAATAAAGCTGTAAATACCAGCTGAATACCTTTTTAAAATACCAGCTGAAAATTACGCCAACACCTTAAAAATGCGAAAGTAATTTTGGCCATATATATATATGTACCTTTTTGGTACAAGTTTTCTCCATTACTTGAAAGATTCTCTTGACATTTTTCCAATAAGTGCATCTATAACCGAAATCTCCTTCGTTAGAAACAAGCTCAAAAGCACTAGATTAAGACATGAAGTATGGTTAAAACATTTATCAGATACCAGAAAGAGCCTTACCTACAGTAGCTACAGTAGCAGATGCAGTTGACAGAAGAGATTTCCCCCAGCTTCCCCAGTACCCCCATCCTGTCTGAACTGCAGCAGGAGAATCTGAGACCTTTAATGAAGAAAAGCAGAAGAGAATGATGCAGGTGTTACAGTGAGGAGAGGAACACAAGCAGTCTGTCATGTGTAACTTCTGCACAGCTTTTTCTTTTCAGATAAACAGCAATGTGAATTTTCAAAAAAACAGTGAGGTCAAAATTCTTCTGTGCATAAAGCCATGAAACAAGAAATCACGTTATTCAGAGCAAGCACAGGATCATACCCTGAGGGTTTCAGCTGCAGGCTTTTCTGTGGCAGCAGGCTGGCTTGGGGGTTTGGGTTCAGGTCTTTTCCGAGTCACAGGTACAGGTTCAAGGTCTTGCTGTCTCTCTTCATTGCTCTCAGCACAGCCAAGTTCCTCTGCTTTCTGTTCATTTTCATCTTTGTAAGAGGTTTCTTCTTTCAGATTTTCACCGCTGTCTTTCTCTGACATGACTATGACCGTTCGTAGAAAGCGAAGCAGATAAAATAATCACTCCCTTGTACACTTCAACATTAGTTCAAAAGCATCACATTTGTGTTTAAAATAATTAAACACAACTAAGACAGAAATCCCTTTATGTTGCCACACATACCCACATGAACAGATTATGTTTTTAAGGGAGCGTGTACACTGAGTTATGTCTGACTGGAAGAAATGTCACACTTGGAAGTTTAAAGTCCCACAGAAACACGTGGCTTTATCTAACTGACACACCCTCTCCGCAGGAAAGAAACAGGTTGCTACCTCTGAGGAGCAAATGGAAGGTACGAAAGGTCCTCCGATAATGAAATCCATGACTTGCTTCACCAAAACAAAGCAAAACCAAATTGCTTGGGACAGCTGCTTTGAAGAGTGTCGGATACGAATGGGGATAGCTGTCAGAATGCCAGGCAGGTAGAGAGGCAGCGACTGGTTCGCTTCTGTATTTAGGGCTGAGCTTCACCAGAGCATTAACACCACCCAATATTTGAAATGTGGTCCAGCTGCCACAAACCCCAGCCCCGACATGGCACACTGGGGATGACGGTGCCCACGAAGAGGGCTGCCATGCTGCGGCCTGCGCATGGGGCAGGGGGTTCTCCCTCCCGCCGGCAGCGCTTCACCAGCTCCGGGGCAGTAAGGCACAGGCAGCAGCAGGCAGGGACAGGCAGGACCACACCGAGCACCCCACGGCCCCCCAGCACCGAGCAGCATCCCCAGAGAGGGGGCCTCTGATGCAATCAGGGCAGCTACCCCCAGGAGCGGGATTTTGTTGGCTTTAAACGAAGGAGGAGACCAGCCCCTACGGAAAGGGCC